ACCCTCTCTCAATTTCTCCCTTCATCCCCATCGCTTTGACTTCTTCCCCCCCTTCCCTGTCTCTCTGGCTTACTGACTGTCTGTCTAGGTCTCCCCCCCACCCTTCTTCCCTCCTTCCCTCCTTCCTTCCTTCCATCCTTCCATCCTTCCATCCCTCCTTCCTTCCCTCCCTCCCTCCCTCCTTCCTTCCTTCCTACCTACCTACCTATAGGAAATACAGGCTCAGAAATGCGAAGGAGATCGAATGAAAACAAAGTTTCGGCGACTTGAAGAGGAGAATAACCGAAAAGACAAACAGCTGGAGCAGCTGCTGGATTCTTCTCGGGTGAGTTCTGCGGTCCGAGGCGGAGCCGAGAGCGGCGTTCAAATCTGCTCGTCGGGTTGTTTCCTGTTCCACCCGGGAAGCGGGTGCGGGCTAGCATTTCGGCTCCGAAACCCGGGCATCGTTTTGGCGGGCAGGCAAGACAGGAAGTAGCTGATATCCTGTTTCCCGTGATGCCGTGGGGGTGCCCGACAAGGATCATTATCAATCGCAGTAATAACGTCAGCACAGTGGGAGAACCGCAGGCCTCGTGCCTCTGATCAAAGCCGGCTCCGGACCACAAAAACGTGGTGGTGGAAAGTTCCCTCAAGTCACGGCCGACTTAGAGCAGCCCGGGAGGGTTTTCAAGGCAAGAGACATTGCCTGCCTCTTCGTGGCGGCCCTGGGCTTCCTTGCTGGTCTCCCTTCCAAGTACTAACCACGGCCGACCCTGCTGAGCTTCTGACGGGATCGGGCTAGCCCGGGACATCCAGGTCGGGGCAAATCAACCAGTGCTCCCTCTAAGCTGTGGAATCTTGTGAGCAAAAAAATCCCACTTTGTGAGCTCCTGGCATTAAAGTGGGTGGGCGAGCCCTTTGGCGGTAGCGCAGTGAATGAGTTTGCTCTGGAGCCCCATCCCTTCCTGAGCCGAGATAAAAATCTGTGAGCTGGAGGCTAAAAAAACTGTGAGCCAGCTCACAGCTTTGTGAGCCAGCTTTGGCGGTAGCGCAGTGAATGAGTTTGCTCTGGAGCCCCATCCCTTCCTGAGCCGAGATAAAAATCTGTGAGCCGGAGGCTAAAAAAACTGTGAGCCAGCTCACACTTGCTCAGCTTAAAGGGAACACTGAATTAGCACCCTAACGGGACACGCCTGCCAGTTTCCTTCACGTAGCTGGCTGCTCTCTGCAAGCCCCCTCTTCTCCTAGGGCTGCTCGCCTCCAGCATCGGGCAGAGGAGGGTTCTCAAGGCAAGGGACGTCTAGAGGCGGTTGGCTGCTTCTTGCTCTGACTGAGGGCTGCTGGGAGTAGAGGGTGGGGCTTGTTGCATGTGCCCGCCCCCTGGGCTCTTTACTGCCGGAGCTCTGCTCCTGTGCGCTCCCGCCGGAAATGACCCCTGCGCTGGTCTCAAACTTTGTTCACTTGTTACCTTAGTAATGCTAAGTATTACTGTGATGATCTGCTGATTCTTGGTTGTCAGCTAGCGGCTAGGGCCCGTTCTGGTCTTTATTTTCTCAGAAGCACTTTAGAAACGGCAAATATCAGTCACTTTTTCTTTCCTTTAACAGGGCTCTGAGTTTGTCGGGTTACGGACAGAGCCAAGGAGCGATAGCAGCTGGGTAAACTGCGCTTTTCCACTCTTTTTCCCTTTCCCCGCGGCTTCACGTTTGCGGCGGGATCAGACCACAGTCGGTTCATAGGGTGACCGTATCACCAAACCACATAGATAAGGCACAGTGAGAAACGGCGAATACGAAGCGATTAACGAATTGCCCAGTGTCCTTACTCTGATGTGAGCGTGTCCGCGGCCACGCTCTTCTCAGTAATCAGGACTCTGATGTCAGACTGATCCAGGTGGTCAGCCCTGTTGATCTGAATCAGTAGAACAAATTTATTTAGAATCCGGGGTCACCTTTAAGACCAGCAAATGTTTTATTTATTTTATTACATTTATACCCCGCCCTCCCCGCACGCGGGCCCAGGGCGGCTTACATAGGCACAACCGTGCAATAAAATACAACACGATTAAAAAAATTTAGGCACCCAAAGTGCGATAAAATTACACAGTCAACCACTTAAAACACAATTCAATCTTACAGAATGCATCGGTGGATTAAAATACTCACTCATTGTTATATGTCACAGTGAGGTCAGAAGAAAGGGGGCGTGCTATGGGCCGAGATGTTCCGGATGGCTAATCAGCCCACCCCGACGGCACTGCTCTGCAGTACACGATGGTGGTAATAGTGGCGGCGGCGGCTCCTACTCAAAAGCCTGGCGGAAGAGCTCTGTCTTGCAGGCCCTGCGGAACTGTAAAAGGTCCCGCAGGGCCCTGATCTCCTCCGGGAGCTCATTCCACCAGGTAAGAGCCGCCACCGAAAAGGACCTGGCTCTTGTGGCAGCAAGCCTGGCCTCTTTAGGGCCCGGGGTCACTAGGCGGTGTTGTGACCCCGACCGAAGTGCTCTTTGGGGCCTGTATGGGGAAAGGCGGTCCCTCAGGTATTCAAGGTATGAGCTTTCGTGTGCAAAGGGCACACTTTGTCAAATACCTACCTGGATCTATGATGAAGATGTGCAAAGACAAAACTAAATAACAAGCTAAGGCTATAAGGTCAACAGTTGTAAAGCATCACAGCAAAATGTTACGCAAATAGCTCAAACAAATGTCGGTAATGCAGCATTAATGTAGGTTCGTTTTATCATATGTGGTGGCGTTGTGCAAAAATTCAAAGATTTTGGGAGAAAGTACAGGTAATGATTTGGGAAATGTTGAATATATTTTTGATGTTAAATCCAGAGATATATTTGTTGAATATGATGCCGGAAAAATCTTAGTCGTTGTGGTGCCTACTTAGTGGTGCTTATAATAACATCTGCTAGAATACTTCTGGCCAAATACGGAAATCAGAAAAAACTCCCATTAAGGAAGAAAAAAGTTTGAAATTGTGTCACTTAGCAGAAATGGATAAATTAAGCTTGTTAATTCAAGGGAAAGGAGAAGAGACTTTTGTGAAAAGATGGTCAAGACTGTACAAATGGAGAGAGAATAATGTTAAAAATCAGACTCAAATGTAAATTATTGAATGATTGACAATTTACTTATGTATCTGGGTATGGAAAGTCTATAAATAAATAGTATATTTTTAAAAAAACGTAAAGCATCTGTCTGCTATTTTGACCTATTTATTGCTTTACAACTGTTGACCATATATTTATTTATTTATTTAGCTTGTTGTTTGTGCATCTTCATCATATTGCATGTTAATTTGTTGTCCAGCCCCTGTCTGTAAATCTGAACCTTACCTGCCATTCTGAGTGTATTTGAAAAAGTGTGCCTGCACACGAAAGCTCATACCCTGAATAAAACTTTGTTGGTCTTAAAGGTGCCCCACGGGACTCCAAATTCGTTCTTCTGATTCCAGACGGCACCCTTCCTGTTTTTCCTTTCCATCCCTGGCCTTCTGGTGCTCCTTAACAGCAGTGAACCCTTGAGGATTGTAGCTCCGTCCCTCCCACTGAATTGTTATTGCTGAATTGTGAATGGAGGCTGAATCTCCCTGGGCCACGGACCACGGCAGTCGGAACACTGACCTCATAGCTGCGCCGGTTTTGACAGGGCCTTTAGCTTGCAGTAGTTTGCAGGACGCTGTGCAAGATCAGATGGGCCGTTAGCTTGTTCCAGCCACACTCTTCTTCATGTGCTCTCATATTCTTGCTTGTGCATGTGGAGGAGTGGGGGGATCAAACCCGGTTCTCCCAGATTAGCGTCCACGCTCCGAACCACTAAAACCAAACTGGCTCTCAGTTGGCCCAGGGAGCTACCACCGAAAAGGCCCTGCGCCTTGTCGGCGTCAGCCTCGTGTCACCCAGAGAAGGCAGCTGTGCCGGACGATCTCCGTGCCTGATCAATTGTGCTTCCTTGTCTCCCTAGGATAGCCCGGCTTTGTGTGGGTCGGTAGGCAGCCCAGTCTTAAAAGAGTATTACTTCCTGTTAACATTGTGGGCATGTGATGAAGGCAAGCAATGCTGCAGGGGAGGCCCCGTGTTTACCAGTTGGGTGTCGTGGTTTAGTGTGCAGACTCTAATCCGGGAGAACTGGGATTGATTCCCCACCCTTCCTCCACATGCAGCTGCTGGATGACCCAGGGCAAGCCATAGTTCTGTCAGAGCTGTTCTCTCAGGAGCAGTCCTCGAAAGAGCTCTCTCAGCCCCACCGACCTCACAGGGTGCCTGTTGTGGGGAGGGAGAAGGGAAAGGAGATTGTAAGCCGCTCTGAGACTCCAAGTGAAGGGCAGGGTATAAATCCAATCTCCTCCTCCTCTGCCTCTTCTTCTCCTCCTCCTCCTCCTCCTCTCTCGATCAGGTGATCAACGGCTTGAAGCAGAAGATCCTCAAGCTGGAGCAGCAGTGCAAGGAGAAAGACAACACCATCAAGTACGGCGACTCTTGATGTAACGCGCGCTCAAAGGGACGGGGTTGGTGGGGAGGGGCAGGTAAAGACGGCGGGAACGGAGATGGCAAAGGGGAAGCGGAAGCCGCGGCTGGCCAAGTAGGACCTTCTCTGCCGTCGCTCAAACCTAGATCGCCCGTGTTTATGACGATCGTTCCCAGACCAAAACGGAACCCCGGGAGCACCTGCAAGGCGAACAAGCTTTATTTCAGCATGAGCTTTCGCGTGGGTCCGAGTTCGCATCTTCAGGTGCAGTGGGACATCTGTGGGTGTCTAGAAGTGGAACGGTGTTGGGTATTACAAGTTGAAAACA